ATCGAATTCACAAACAACTGACTCTTATGAACCAGTTCTTTCTGATGAATCCAAAACACCACAACCAGCATAGTCCCATTCACAAGCAAATAAAGAAGTCATATTTTACCTGAGTTTGCAGTCTGAATGATATGCGATAAGATGGAAATCTGTGTCTCATTAAGTAATGGCTTAAAAATCTTGACGTTAAAGGGTACAGTAGTAATCTGATGCACAAATAAATGACTCTTATGAACAAGTTCTTTTAGTGAATCAAAAGTATTCAAAGTAACAAGGGTAATCGAATTCACAAACAACTGACTCTTATGAACCAGTTCTTTCTGATGAATCCAAAACACCACAACCAGCATAGTCCCATTCACAAGCAAATGACTCCTAAAAGACTCACAAACTTTGATCAGTCATTCTGTTAGGGTCACTCACATGTTCATCTCTATATGTGTGTGTGTTTCCTTGATGTTCCTCGAATCCTTACTGCCATTGTTATTCTAATCGCTGTCATCACTCAGGGAATGGTTGTGCTCATCAGTCTGCACCAAAATGTTCTGATTGGCTAAAGCCGCGAAATGAATTTCTTCAGATCCAATCGGATCACAAGAGCCATAAAAACAACTTGAGCTGGCAGAAGACACAGGCTGCTGGGAATTTAAGTGTAAAAATCTCTCTCTCTCTCTCTCTCTCATTTACCTTTCTCTTCTCCCTGGTGTTTGTGGTTAGCTACTGTCTCAGTAAGAAGGGAAAACTTCGGTCTGGAGGCTTTAAAACGTTCAAATATTCATCAAATATAGATCTCTCTGAATCCCTTTCTCCCTTTGCTCTTCGACCGCCTCTTCTTTCTGTTTTCTTCTTTTTCCCACCTTCTATTTCTGTCCTTCTTGTGTTGCTCTGTTCACTCAAATCTTAAAACAGTCACCATAAAAGAAGCAATTAATGCAGATCAAAACAACACGGCACCATGAAACACTCAGCACATCACACGTACGCGCACAAGGATGATGATTCACAGAGTCGTAAAATAACCGTACAGATATTCTTGGCATCTGCGTGTGTGTCTGAGCTGCTGAGAAACACGGTAAACCCTGGTAAAACCCGTCTGTCCTTCTTGTTCTTTCTTCCTCTCTCCCTCACGCTTTCATCCTCTTTTCCTCTTGAATTCTCTTCTCTCAGTTTGAGTGACAGTTAGCCATCTGTCTGTGTCCACTGTCACAGCAATGCCACAGCGATAAGAAGCCCAGAGCAGCTCCACTGTCAGGTACCCCAAATCCCTCACGCTGACTGACAGCAAAGTGTGTGTGTGTGTGTGTGTGTGTGTGTGTGTGTGTGTGTGTTTACGAGCAACTCTGCTGTAAGATAGATACAGGAATGACTGCAAAGCAAGGAAAATCATGCTTTAATGGAATAGCTAAGCCAAAATGAAAATTGTGTCATCATGTACTCATCCTCATGTCATTCCAAACTTACTTTCTTTAACACAAAAGAAGATGCTTTACAACAAAAAGTACATGGTGACCCAGGGCTGTCAAATGACAAAAAGCACCTTAAAACTAGTCTATAATGCTATTGTGTGCTATTTTCACTCTAAAGTCAAAATTCTCCAAATTTTAGCTTTGACAGCTTTGTCAATGGTAAATCATTTGTTTATGCATTAGTTGCATGGTTATTAAAATTCTGACTGATAACATTTCATGTTCACTGCCAATAACCAGTAAATAACTGATAATAAAATACTATACAATTTTGTTTAAAAATATATAATAAAATATAATATAAAATATAAAATAAACCCCACTAAAAATAAACATTCAATGCTGCTCATTAAAAACAACAACAATAATAATCGGGTGGTAACTCATATGCAGTATTATTGTTAACTACAACGAATAAAATTACAATTATTCAAATTTTTCATTAATTGAAATAAAATAAAATATAAATATTAGATAAAAAACTAACTGAAATAAAATGTTTAAGCACTAAAGTATTAGTCAAACTAAAACTGAAATCAATATAAATTAAAGCTAAAAATAGAAATAAAATGACAAAAGTACAAACAATTACTAAAACAATTTTAAATAAAAATATAGAATTCAACTTTGAAACTAAAATTCAAAATATTAATAAGTCTATCAATAATACTAAAATAACACTGCTAATTTGATGCAGATATACTGTACAGTGCAGAAAGTCATAAAGGTTTGGACATGAAAGTGAATAAATGATGACACGCAAATGATGATCATTTTGATTTTGGGGTGAACTGTCCCTTTAAGTGTACGTGTATGAGAGTGTGTAAACACTGTTATTAGTGACCTAAGGGCGTCTTCATGACCCATGTGATAATTAGACAATGAGATTGGAGCAGCCATAATGACCTGTCAATGCTCTCTTCCACATAAACACACACACTCTCTCTCTCTTTCTCTCTCTATTTCATAAATCATTCCTGTTCCAGCTCATTTGAGCTAGGCTGAATAAATTAGCGCATGTTAAGGTAGGTTAATTAATACCATTCTCCCTAAGGTTCAAATCTCTAATGTACACATACCCTTACACACACACATTTGCGCCAACACATGGGCATAAAGATATCAGAAGCCATCAAATGTGCACTCTTTTGGAAAATAGAACATCAACCGGTCATGACAGATGCTGTATAAATGCACCCAAATCGCACACACAACTATTTTTTAACACGTATGCACACACATAAACACTAAATTAAATGTTCAATGACCCTTAAAATCACTTTTCTCCTTTTTTCCATATGGACGCTTGTTTGATGGTTTCTCTCGCTCTCTTTTTCCATCTCGCAGCCTGCGTGTGTGTGTGTGTGTGTGTTTATGCCTCTGACCTTGCATTTGAGGACTCATAGACTGACACAGCCTGTTGATCGATTCGTGGGGCCTGTTGGAGTAACGATAAAGCCTGCAGCGTGTGTGTGTGTGTGAGTGTGTGTCACTGACACCTACGTTAAGGCTTAACAGAACACGGAAGAGCCTTCGAAACTTCCTGATGTCCACATACCAGAAAACTCACACTTGTTTGCCCATTAAGGAGCCAGTGGAAGGAATTTGATTCTTATCACAGAGTCACAGTGTCTACGAGACCTGCAACTGCTAAGATTAGACACAAGACACCGCCACACCTTCACACACACTTTGCACGTAATAAAAACAAAACACAAAAATATAACCTTGGGCTCCTAAGCACCAACGATCTATTATCTCCTGAGTTTGAAATCATTATCTGGTTTTGAAAAGTTTGAATACAATTTGACTGATATTAACCCTAGTGAAAGAAAATCTGATCCATCTATAAAGCCATCATCTCTCTTTTCGGTCTCATCTATTCTTTCTCTCCCAACCTTTCTGTTTTATTCTTTTTCTTTATGTGAATAAAGGGCTCATAAAATTCTATGACTTCAGGATTTTTATTACACCTCCATGACTTTGCCAAAATCTTTTAAAATTCACGTACTTTTACAGGTATTCTAGGACAAGGGGAATTATGGCAATAGATGCTAAAAACATGCCCATTGCGTGTTTTGGGTCTAAGCGTGTTAGGACATCACTTTCCTGTGTCAAATCTACTTTCTGAAATGTTGATATTGACGAGCTTCTGTTGGCCTCATTCCCTCCACGCTACTGTGCACTGTATTAAAAACAACCCCCAGTAACAACCCAACAGATGGTTCCAGTTGATAAAATCACAATCAGCCGAATCCCAGCAGAAGATTGTGACTTCGTTGAGAACCGACTAGCCTGAACTAAAAACAAACCCAATTTAAATTGCTATAGCCAGCTATAGACAGGCTCTAAAAGCTGCCAGGACCGAGCATATCCACAAACTCATAGAAAATAACCAAAACAATCCAAGGTTTTTATTTAGCACAGTGGCTAGATTAACAAATAACCAGACGCCACCCAATCTAAATATTCCCCCACAGTTTAATAGTATTGACTTTATGAATTTCTTCACTGATAAAATAGATAACATCAGAAATACAATAACAAATGTAGATTCTACAGCGTATAATACTTCAGCTTCATTCATCGCACCAAAAGATAAACTGCAGTGCTTTACAACTATAGGACAGGAAGAGCTAAATAAACTTATCACTGCATTTAAACCAACAACATGCCTGTTAGATCCTGTACCCACTAAATTACTAAAAGAGTTGTTACCTGTAACAGAAGAACAACTTCTCAATATTATTAACTCGTCGTTGTCTTTAGGTCACATCCCAAAACCATTCAAGCTGGCGGTTATTAAGCCTCTTATTAAGAAACCACAACTAGATCCTAGTGAACTGGCAAATTACAGACCCATTTCAAATCTTCCTTTTATGTCTAAAATTTTAGAAAAAGTTGTGTCTGCTCAATTGTGCTCCTTTCTGCAAAAAAATGATCTCTATGAAGAATTTCAGTCAGGTTTCAGGCCCCACCATAGCACAGAAACTGCACTTGTTAAAATTACAAATGACTTGCTTGTTGCATCAGACCAAGGCTGCGTTCGACACTATAGATCATGACATACTCATAGATCGATTACAAAACTATACAGGTATTCAAGGGCAGGCAAGGATGGTTTAGATCCTACCTGTCCGATCGCTACCACATTGTTCATTTAAATGGGGAGTCATTTTCCCATGTTACAAAAACAGCATTTTTCCGTCTTAGAAACATTGCCAAGTTACCATGGATAAGCTACCACTAAATATTGTAGAAACTTAATTTGCTGTAAAGTTGCTTTGCAACATTTTGTATCATGAAAAGCGCTATACAAATAAACTTGAATTTAATTTAATTGAAATGCAATGATGCAATACCATCATGCCATCCCTTCTAACACAGATTAAAACAATAAACAAGGGCAGATGCTGAATGAACACAGAAAAGTCTATTACCATCAGAAGAACTTTTCACAACTAACATTTTCTAGTCAAAATAATCAAAAGATGTGATGTGTGTTGACAGACATGCTTTGATGCACTAACTCACCAATGATGAAGTAGTCCTGATTGGTTTTAAATTCATGACCCCACAGGTTGGGTGAGTACTCCTGAAACTTGATGGTGAAACGCATATCACTGTTGGGCTTATCGCAGGTGAGAAGCAGGTTGGGGGCTCCGGTCACTTCACACCTGTCTGCCTGTTCCCGTGACGACACCAGGTACAGTTTATAGTACTCGTATTCGGCGGGGGACCGGGGACCGGGCGGCTCAGATGCTGGGCAAATGAGGTCCAGGCGATCCCCGATTTGAGGGTACAGGACATAGCCCTTATCATCACTAAACCTGGAGACAGACAGAGAGGGAAAGAGAGAGAATTTATTGTCATGACATTAGAAACATAAATTTATTGGTGAAAATCATTAAAAAAAATTGCATGGCTAAAAACCAATAAATAATTTAAAACCTGAATGTGTGACTTAAAACAACAAAATAATTGACTTTATTTTTTAAGCTTTTATTTATTTTTTTAGCAAAATCTAATTAATAAAAGGCACTTTTGCAAGTCATATAAGTAAACAAATGAAATTATTATATAAAAATATGAAATAATTTAAAATAACTTTTCTATTTTAACGTAGGCTATTTTAAAATGTTTTTAAAACATTTCTTATTATTATCAATGTTGAAAATAGTTGTGCTGCTAAATATTTTTGTGGAAACATTTTTCTTCAGGATTCTTTAATGAATAGATTGACATGATAAATAAATAAAAAGAAATCCATGTATATTTTTTGCAGTTCCATTTAGCTCCATTCTGGTTTGTAACTCTTTTCACCATTTAACTGAATACAAAATTCAATGCAAAATCAATTCCTTCTTTTTTGTCACTAAATATCCTCTAGTCTTAGGGTGCTTTCACACCTGTAGATTGATTGCTTTGTTCCGAAACAGGGATTAAAATTATTACAATGTTGCTTTTTATTCTTGGTGCAGTTCGCTTTCACACGGCAATGTTTTCTAAACTGACCAAATTTGTTAATACAAGTCACGCGCGAGTACACTGTTCTCTCATTGGTCAAAGTTCCACGGTTTATTCCACTTAGCTGTCACAGCTGTCATCTGTCAGGATGGAACGACTACAGCTTCGCGGGCTTATTGTTGTTGTTTTTTTGTAGATGTCATTATATTAATTTATCACTTTGAGCAGGAGTCCAGGATTTATCGGGAAAACATTTTTAAAATGCACCTACTAGGAAGAAGAGCAATAAGACGGCATTATAAAATGAAAAAGTGAGCTTTGATTTTGAATGGTGAAGATGTGCTCACCCACAGACATTCACAGGTTCATTTTGAAGTAAACAACAAAGCTAATGCTTTTCACGGAACTTACATAATTACCCATTATACATTGTGATATAGCCTGGTTCGTTGGTCCGTTAGATCGGATTGCTTTCTCACTACAACCGAACCGTTCCAGAGTTCGTTTTCAATCGAGCCGAGACCACCTCGTTCATCTCGGGCCGATTGTTTTGGCGCAGATCCGAGCGCGATTGCCGTGTTCACATATGTACAAACGAACCGAGCTAAGGGGGGAAACGCGCCAGGTTCCGAAACAACGGGCCAGTATTCATATTTCACACTACACAAAAATAGGCTGTAAATAGCTTGTCACATTGTCTTTAATCAGTTTGTCTTCATTTAATCAGTAATATGCACATCCGGTGTTGATCTTTGTCTTTGTTTGTGGCAGAGCAAACCTGCGAAAATCTGTCAATCATATGGATCAGCACGGGGGCAAGGATGATGCATCATGGGATACGAATGACTGGTTTAATCTGGCACTATAACCTTTCGCTTCAGAACATTCACTGACAAAACCACATGCTTCTCATGAAAATTTCTGTGGGTATGCTGGCTGCCTCGGGAACAGGCTGGCATTTACTAGCGCAGGTGTGGATCCAACCACACTCCACAAGTAGAAACTCATCCACTTCTTTTACACTTTATTCATCTACTCTGCTCGTCTCTTTTCCTGTTTATTCATAGCCCTAATGAAAGTGCTCTCTTCCGCTGTGTAAATCATCTGAAGGTTTTTGACGACTGAATTTCTCGAAATATGATATTTTGTTTTCTATCTTCAACAAGTGACTCTAATGAGAATGAATAGGCCAGTCTGGATCCAAAGGAATCAGTGTCAGATCAAAGCTCAGCAGAGGACGTGTCTGGAGCTTCCAATTTCCAGGAGAATTTGGCTGTTGCGGAATCTCAGGGAATTTCCTTTGAATTCTTTCAATGTAAACAAATGACTAAACGACTCGCAGACACTAATTACCATTTTATCATCATCTCTAAACAGCCAGCAACACCAACGGCTATTTACATGTAAACAATTTAAGGCAGTTGGGCTTTGTTTTTTTTTGTTGTTTTTTTTACGGGCTTCATGTTTCCATATGAAAAGAAATGCGAAAATACATTCACGTAATGATGGGTGGATCCATTTACAAATCACATACATTACCATAGCATGCTAACCTAGCCTAGGGCATGTTTATTAAAGCTAGTCACTCTTGCTTTTAAGAAACAAAAGCAGAGTGTGTGAGAAAAAGGCTTCTGTGTGTGTGTGTGTGTGTGTGTGTGTGTGTGTGTGGCATTCCTATGAGAGAAGAGCCTTCTTGTCACACAGGTTAGGAAGGTTATCAGTAGCTCTTACAGCGGAGAGAACAGACACTCAACACACACTTCACGTACTACAATTAGACTGACCAATACTCGCACACACATGACTTTAAAGGGATGTTTTTGAGTTCAACACAACTTCAGTATTTGTGGCATAGAAAACAATGGACTTGTGGCTCAGGCAAAACTTGTATTTTTCAGTAACATACAGTACACTACCAGTCAAAAGTTTGGGGTTTGTGAGATTTTTTTTAAATGTATTTGAAAAGTCTCTAATGCTCACCAAGGCTGCAATTTCTTTGAAAAAAAAACAGCAATAAAGTAATCTATTAATGCAATTCAAAACAACTTCAAAAAATTTAATTTCTTCCTATGATGCAAAGCTGAATTTTCAGCATCATTACTCCAGTCAGTGTCACATGATCCTTCAGAAATCATTCTAATATGCTGATTTGCTCAGGAAACATTTCTTTATTATCGATGTTGAAAACAGTTGTGCTTAATGTTTTAATATATTTGATGAAGAGAAAGAATTTCCATCATTTTCAGAATTTATTTGAAATCAAAATCAAAACATTTTCAAAGTCTTTAGAATAATTTTTGATCAATTTAATGCATCCTTACTGAACATAATTATTAATTAATAAAAAAAAATTTTTAAACTGCTGACCCCCAATTTTTGAATGGTGGTGTACTTACAATGAAAGTAGACCAGGCCAGAGGGTTCCAGAGGGTTTTAAAACATAAATGTAAGGGCTGTATTCATTAAAAACTTACATGAATTATTTAACATGTTATTTGAGCTGTATAATTGACTAAATGTCCCTTTTAAAGTGGGACTACTTTTCTAGGCGGATGAACTTTGCATTTGCATTAGCAATGTAATTCCTGTGGGTTTTCTGTGAGTCTGTTGTAAACTGCCATTTATGGTGCATTCAGTTCATGTCAGAATGATCATATTTTCAAGTTGAGCACATAATCATCAAGTCAAAATTACTAGAGGAAAAATCAGGACTTTCTTTAAGCTCAGAAGTTTAGAGCTGTTATGACGTGTAATTTCAAGAATCACAGGGGAAGCAAATTGCCACTGATCACATCAATTGTGAAATTTAGCAGTCAAATCAGAATGTATTCATTTTGTGTGCTAAATGCAGCCAGGAAATATTATTCATTTAGCTTGTTTATTAGAAGACATGTCACATCAAACTACATTTCCCATCATTCTCTACAGCCAAACTAGTATGATAAAACACATATATAAAGCATCAGTTACACACATAATGTGCTTCCTTATTAATTATGTTGCATTAGCACTAAAAAGCTTCCTGGTTTTGTCAAAAAGTGAAAAAGTGAGAGAAAAATATGATAATTGTCCTGTTAGTCCATTTTGTCCAGGCTAAAATTACTTGAACGTACATCATGTGGTACTGCAATTACCATTTCTAAACTCATAAGTAGGAACATTCCAAGAAGACCACTGCACACCAACACAAGTTTTGTGGTAACTTTTAAAAACTGAACTTAGCTAACAACTTTTCTTTAACGTCCTTCAAACCAAAACAAAACACAGACATGCCATTGCGAAGTGTTTTTTTTTCTTCAGGTAGACAATATATACACTCCGGAAAAAACGATGAAAAAAATATCAAAACATCCTGCAGATGCAAATTACATTTTTTTGCATTCACATTCTGTTAGGTAGATTTTTGTCTGTTGGTTTATCGCAGACACCAAATCACAGTAGACTTGATTTGAAGAATAGAAAGAACAGACAGAACGACAGAAACAGAAAGAGAGAGAGAGAGCAAGAGAGAGGTGCTGCGGATCAGAGGAGAGAATGAAAGAGTTGAATGAAAGATAAAATAGCTTACGAAACCGAGAGGAAAAGAGTAAACAGAGACGAAAAATGAGGGAGGGAAAAAACAGGTGGACACAGAAAGAGAAGCAAGCAAGCAAGCGGCGGATGCAGGAGATAAGGGAGCCGCTCACTCAGTACTGGCCGTGTTGTTGACATGGTCACGCTGGTCTGCTCTAACCCACTGAACTCTCTGCTGAGACCCAGACACACAAGCAGAAGAATACTGTCCTTTATCACCACATTCACACCTTCTCTCTCTTTCCCTCCCTCTCACGCCCTCCGTGTCAGCGTGACAGAACAGCATTTAGTCAAACTCACACTCACTGCTAGCAAACACGCAAGTACACACTGCAAATGCTAGATTGCTCACGTTAGAATCAAAGAAGCGGTCTATTAAACACAATGCCAAGAGAGGCTATGTGTTAGGTGTTCTTACCTTGTTAAGCGCTGTTGCACAGCAAACTGCCTGAAAGTTCCCCAACTCTTTCCAGGGTTATTATATGAAACTAAAACTAAAACCATTAAAGCATTCAATTATTTTATTTCAGTTAGTTGCAAAGGCAACATGTTGATGTGCTGAAAAAGCTAAAACTAAAATAAAAACTAATATAGAAAAATAATTAATAAAAATGCCAAAACACACAACAAAGTTACTAAAACTAACTAATATTAAAAATAAAAACATTCAAAATATTAATAAAAAAAATTATCACAATAATACTGAAATAACTAAAATGTGGCAAATTGTTAGTAATGACAATAGTCAGAAGAAAAATTAATTAGGCTCATGATCCTAAATGTAGGCTGC